CTGAAGTCAAGAGTGGAAAGCAGCCCTTGGTATCTGAACTGAGACCAAAGACTATATATAGAGACACTCAAATCCATTAGTCTCCTGAGCTGTTGGTATTTGCCAATTCCTTCATAATCACAATCTGACACATTTGTACAGGAAGTTACAGTGTGCATACTAATACAGTCTATTTTAATATTTGCTCCCTCTGCAAGATCAAGCACTAATTTAGACACTCAAAATAGTTCTCCAAATGAACCTGCTTCTCTCTTGTGACTAACAACAAAACTACGGAGACCGGGCACTTAATTTGGGTATTGAAAGCGCAAATACTGCTTATGCATATAATGAACATACAGGTACAAAACGAAAAATTGGCCTGACTTAGGGCCCCAATCAGGGTAACTCTGAGCCTTAATAATTTCAAATCTAGTTTGAGATGTGAAGTTTGTGGCTGGCCTCCTTTCAGCAGGGCACAGCTTTTATGTTGTATTAGAAAGGAATACAGGGAATAGGGCAATTAGAAAGAAAGTTTAGGTGGGAATTATCTGGCAATATTAGCCCACAGAAGCTTGCTAAACTCACATGTATTAGAGTGTAGTAGGTGGAGTCTTCTGGATTATTTAATGTCTTAGGCTTCCGTGGCCTCCTTGGGGGCCTCTGCATTGGGTGAGAGTCTTCTACTTTGGCTGCAACTGTAAAAGAGCAGAATATAGCAGTGCTTATTTCTTCACAGAAAGAGAGGCTTTTATGAAAACAGGAGAGAATTTCACCAAGGAGAGCAAAAAAATCAATGTAGCCACTTTTACTGCTTGCAGTAACTCAAGACAGCAACTGTTTGGGGCATTTCCATGGCCAGACTGGAAAGAGGAATGGGTTTATCCATTTGAGTCTTGACTACCACCACATGGACATATGCCATGTGACGAATGCCAGGCTGGAACACCCCAGCAGTCTGCCTGGCACAGGCTTCTCCTTCTGAAAAGGGATGATGCTCCATATTCAGAAAAGGACTCTGAAGGGTAATGGCTACTGGAAGGCTACCATCTCATAACAGGGACCTAGGTGGTGGGGATGATATTTTTTCAGACTCAAGTCAATCATTAAGGTGCTGAATGAGGGAACTAGCATTAGACCTCTGATTCAGAGGTTAGTCCTCTACATTATCATGGTGTAGGTTTTCCCCAAGGTCTCCTGCTACAGCTGTTCTGTTTCAAGCCAAATCACGTACCACTGGGTACACGTTTTCATTCTAATGGAAACCAAATCAAGATTTTAACACAAAATGGAACTGCTGTCCCCTGTGAGTCTCTGAACTCAGAGTTAGACACTGACTTGTGGGTTACATTGGCTGGCACATGGGGAACTAGACAAATGTCTTGGATATTTGCTTGTTAAAAATCTGTATGCAATTCTGACAGTGCAAAGATATAGGACTGCTAAGGGTTCATAGGCTCACAGATTCCGAGACCACAGAACAGACTCTGGGGGGCTGAAGAACCACAAATGTATCATGTGGTAAGCATGATCACGTTACATTCACCTTCAGCTATAGGAAAAGTTAATAGGGGGCTATGGCCATTCCTTCATGATGAAGAGGGTGGGGTTGCAGGGCAGTAGAACACCTGTGATAGAGATGGGTCATTGGGACACATACAGGGTGATGAATGAAGAAGTCACAGCATAAGGTCTAGGCATGGTGAACTGTGTGTCCAGGTATACTGCATTATCCAGTGAGGTTTTTGATTGTCCTTGTCCCATCACAGAAGTATTCAGAGGACAGTCCATGAGAAAAAACATCTTACTCATAATAGTGTGAGGGTGGAATGAGGATCTAGCTCTCAATGAGTTACTGAAGTGTGTTCTGCTGATCTAATCCTCTTTCACATGAAGTGACTTTAACTCCATAACCTCAATATGCTAACTACATGAGATTGTCTTAGAAGGAAGAATGTATTTTTTTCTCTAGTGACCATCAGAAACCCTTTTACATGATAAAAATAAAGTGTCCCATTGTTTTAATTAAGGAGGTGGCACAATCATTTACAATGAGAAATGATCAGTAATACATCAGTGCTGACTCCTGCAAAATTAGCTGCGTAAGTTTTTTGTTATGTGTGATAAATAAAGGCTTGTAAAGGTCATGGATATTCAGAGGAGGCAGGATGAATAATGTTAATTTGAATTGTAGTTGGATAATGATTACATTTACTGTTTCAGTTTCTTATCTGAAATGCAGACTGCTTCTCAGGTAATGAATGAAAAAGTATCTTTTAACATTTTGCACTTAAGAGAATAATGGTGTTTTTCTAAGCCAGGGTACTGATAATTCATGCTAAACAATGAAATTTAGAGGCAATAAATTCATTTCAGTAACCTGTATTAAATATAAATTAAATTCTTTGATTTGAATAGGTATAGTAGGCCTGACTGGGCTCTTACGTGGGCTGTTACCCTGCTGCATTTCAAATGGGCCACCTGGAGTTATCTGAGTTTCTATTTGTGACAGAGTAGAGGCATATCTTCCCTGTTTTATTTTTAAACACAAAAGGAGCCTAAATTGGAAAAAATACCTTTAAAAAGCCCCTTGAAATTCAGTGTAGTTGAGTAGAAACACCTAACACCTTGTCTGTAGGACCTTTTCAAAAATTATGTCAAAGATCATGACTGCATGAAAATTTGGAAAAGAAAATTAAGCCAAATTGAGGGCTTTAGGAAAATCCCAAGGAAAAGCGTCTTATAATCCCTAAAGATATTTTATTGTCCCCTAAGAATTCATCACTATGTATGCTGTTACATTATTTAGTTCATCACTGTAAAACACATAAAGCATTATCATATTCTGCATTACAATTATTCCAACTGAAATTACTTGTATACTTCTTGTGTATGTGCTCTGCAAAGAAGACTCCTCTTACATTCAGAAAACATAATTTTGACAATGATGAGGGTTTCAGTAAAAAAGAGCTTTTCATCGCATCTTATGCGTTGTACATATGTATGAACTGTGCAAAAGAACTGAGGGGACAGAAATACCGTGTTGGGGCAGGCAGCCTTCTAAGCTTGGACCTCCATCGTTCCTTTTTAAAATTACACAGAGAGATGAAAATGCCACTCTGAGTTTTGTCTCCAAATTACACAGTAAATAAAAAACAGTTTGATGGGTTTAGCTTTCTTTGTTTCACCAGAAAGTGAACCTGTGATTTCCTTCTGCACTTAGATTGTGTGTTCATTACTACTGAAATCCAGATGATGTGGTAGTTGCTTGTATTGGATAACTCACTGCACAAAGTAAAATTTGCTTTTTTATTAGTTGCTGATAATTCCAGAAATCATTTACTTAGTAGAGTTAAAGGTGGAAGGCAAATTAAATACCCAAGTCTGATAAATGGTGAGTTTGATGTGCTTGTTTTCCAGATGGCCTATACCTTTCTGTGGCAGGCAATGAAGCATAAAGGAGGAGTAAAATCTTTCACTTACTAATAGGCCAATTATGTTGCTTCTAGAGCCCATTACAAAGAAAAGGTTTTTATTGAAGCCCAATGTCTACATAGTGAAATGTCTTATAGTCTACTTTTCCTTAAGACTTCAAGTATCTCTTGCAAGACCTGGCCATGTGCTTTATATGTAAAAGGAAAACTGATGCTTTCTATCTAACAGACATTTAAATACATACGTTACAACATTGATACAAAAACCATTCACAACAGTAGCTGTCAAAGCATTTTGGAAATGTCAAGTTGGCACCATCATCCCTTTCCTGCTAGCTGGGTAAATGAGATGCACAAAGCAAGACACACCGAGACTTGCTTAAGGTTACGTCCCAGTTAGTCATTAGCACAGCTAAGGAGCTCGACTGAAGGATTGCGCTGAGGCTCCTGGTGGTTTTATCTGCCTGAACAGGTGCTGTCAGGGCTGCAACACATTCCCGTGCCTTAGAAGCAATGCGTAGGAGAAACTGGAAACAAAACCATTTGATGCTACACAGACATTCCTTTTTAAAGGTTTTACCAACAGGTAGGTGAGTTGAACAAGTTGAAAGGGAGAAGGATTTTCCTTAAACTGCTTAAGTGCACGCAGTCAGAACTCAATTAGTCAAAAGATAGAGGTTTTGCTCTCGTGACATGGATGCTTTGCTTTTGAACCTCAACAGTGAATGTCAGCCATGCTGTAGCCCATGCCCAGGAAGTTCCATCTCTCTGCTGCCCAAACCCGAAGCAGACTGTCAAAACATATATTTGATCAAGTGATGATGGAAAGTTTAATAAAAGTTAAGGTCATTCTCCATGAGAATGAATGAATTGCAGAGTTAAGGGTCAGCAAAGGCATGTGAACAGTGTAGCTGCCAGGTAGCATTAAAGCAGGTCTAGCAAATCTACGGAAAATTACTTATCCCCATCAGTATCTCAGCTAGCTCATTTATCACTACCTCAAAGGTTCCTACCTAAGTTGCACACACACTCTTTGACTCTACAGTGTTCAGTTACAAGGTATTACTACTTTCATACTCAGTCCTCACTGGAAGCTCCAAATACACTGAAAAAATATGAAAAGGGATAATGAAATTTAGGACCAGCTCCTTTAATGTACGTGTGTGTCTCCTCAACAGCACCACAAACTATGGAAACTGCAGAGAACTGCACGTGCTTGCAACATTCAAGTATGAGCAAGAAATGCTTGCATAAAGATGAGTCAGTATCAGCCCTTTAGGTTAAACTGTGCCTGCGTGTTTTGACAAACAATGATAAGCTTGGAAGACAATGATCTCAGGGAATCAACATCCATGGATGCTAATGTAAATTAATGTATGACTTACAACAGATCTTATACTGAAGACTGGAGAAATAGTGTGATTACAGCCGTGATAAGCATCTAAGTGATGAAAGGTCTGTATTTATTAGGCCACCTGGAGAAACAGATAAACCCTTCTTCAGGTCATTTAAGTGAAATGTTACATGTTTGATTCTGCACTGTTCCACATCTTACAAGGACAGGAAGTACAAAAACAGGCTCAGAATAAAGCAGGAAGAAAACCAAGAGTAAGAGCAATAATTGTATGGGTTTCGTAGAGGGGCTTGGAAGTAATCAGAAAAATGCAAATACAGCAACCAGAATTCCAGGACTTGATAATGAGAAGTGAACAGCTATTACTGCTTACAACAGTTACATGCATACTTTTTTACTGTCCTAGTTGTACATAGTATGAGGATGTAATTACTCAAGTTTGGGATTTGCAGATAGAAAAGGACTGCTCTTCACCATTCTGTTAGTAATTTTTAGGTATTGTTCATTCATGGAATGTTTACCACAGCCACAGGAAGTTACCAACTTCCAGATTTGGAAGTTACGACTGATGGGTGCCAATTCTTAGCGATATGGAAAAACCAGAGGGATTGTTCAGGCACAGATCTAAAACTAGGAACTGCAAGAGATTGAGAACTTTCCGATTGCATCCAGCAGGAACTGAGAGTGTTTGATCTCTTGCGCCTAAGTCCCGCCAGCTCCACTGAGGGAAGCAGTTTCAGTCTCTGGCTGACACTAATACTTTAATTTCAGAGAGTCTGACCTGGGATTAGTGCTATTTAAGAGAGGATGTTTAAGGAAAATGGCTGTACTCCACTTCTAGAGATCTCCCAGATCTTACGCTCTGCCATGGATCTGACCAACTCCCAACACAGATCATGCGTGTCCTGGCTGCACGGTGTCCAAAGGGCCACTCCAGTAGCTGAGAACAACCAGACAGCAGAAGCGCTTGACTACCCTGCTTTTCTCCAGTCCCACGCCTCGGTGCTCCCTGGCTGGTCACTCACTTGGAAAGAAGAAAGACCGGCCAGTGAATACTGCTCTGCTCACCCTGTGCTACACAGGCTCCCTTTTCCTTGCAAAGGCTGCCCCTGGAAGCCCCATAAATAGTGCTGCAGCAGCCTACAGCAGGAGGAATCCTGGATGAAAACCCTGCCTGTCTTACTACTTCGTGTAGCTGAAAAGGTCCTCAGCTGCACTGGAGCTCCTTGTACCATGTGAATTTCATTCTAAATATAGAAAATTCTCTTCCTGAGATTTTGTACTTGAACTATCATTTAACACTTAGCAGGATGGGCACCATTATTCATCTGGAGAAAAAAGAAAAAAATTTGCTCCCATAATGATCAAGTTCCCCTCACTTCAGGCTTTGACCTCAAAAAACTTGACAGCAGCCATTTATGCATCTATTCTGACACCACAGTAACCCAGACTAGCAGTCTGAAGGTGCAGTCCTGGGATGCAGCCATTACATTTAGCTGAAAGCATTTAGCAAGCAAATATAACCTACTCATAAATTCAAGCCATGGGGAATATTGTTTATTCCAGGAACCTTGTGCAGTTTGCTTTATGCATTTTTAGAAATACAAATAAATTCACTTAAGAACAACTTAACCTTGTGGATTTAAGAATCATTTAACCTTTTTACCCACATGTTCTTTAAGCTGCAGGCTTTGCATTTTTATTAAACAGTTTTGAAAATCTTAACATTTGTCACAGTATACCATCCAGCTGTCTCAGAGTTAGAGATTGCTACCTACAGAAAGTAGAAGCAATGTAATAAAATATTTTATCAGAGGAGCTGGTAAGTTCTCAAACTGAACAATGGCCACATACCCACAGATGAAGGCAGACAAGTATTCCTATCTGGCATACAGCTATAAAATACAATTCACGTGTTATAGCTGTAAAATGACATATAAAACTAGTGAAGCTGAAGAAGAAGTGTAAATAAATGTAAATGACCAAAGTAATTACAAATAGGAAATACTACATGATTTAAGGAACAGGTAAAGCTCAACAATCCTTGCCTTCATAAAGGTAAGACAGCAAAGGTAGCCCTAGAGGGAAACCTTCTGTAAATGTGTGTGTGTAAATTGTACTGTAACATCTAATGCAGGCAAGAAGACAGGAAGGCTCCTCTCTGTTTAATAGACAGTGGATCACTCGCCATGTCTACCTACTTTACTTTAGCATGATAGTCTGCAGCACATTACATCAAGTCTTTGTTTATGTAATTATCATACTATATTGCATACAGAAAGAAAGCACGATATCCAGAATGCTGGTAACTCCCGTGTTGTAGACAGTACAACCTAAACAGACTGAACACAGGCATATTTTTACTTAAATATTCTCTATATCTAGTTAGATCATGTTTACTATAATAAATGTCATCTTAAGACAATGCAGCTTTGTGACTGAGTAATGCTTAGGCTCCAACTGGCTCACAGGTAAGCTGGGGAATTACTGCAGTGTATTCTTTTACTTCAGTAACCTGTGCATTGGTCATAGCTGGAAAGGAAACAGTTTTCCTGTTGTGTGAACTACATTCAAATGTAGAAAAAGAAAGTTCACATTCCACACCAAGAAAGGTCTTTCAGTGGACTAGTTAGCAGTTATAAACATGACCTTGGGGATGTGAGAAATCAAGGCTCAGGTCACTGCTGCCATCACTCCATACCCTAGATGAGTGGCTGAGCCTGGTGTCCACTGTCAAACCCACTGTGTTGCAGAGAGTGAAACTTCACATCATGGCTTGGAACACTGGCAGAACCCATCTGGCCTTCCTTTGTGCTTCTTTAAAGTCCAATGTCTGGCAAAAGTTACCTTTGTTACATTTATCATGAGTAGCCACACAAGTTGTATGAGGTACTTGGGTCAACAACAGAACACAGCAAACACAAACTATGGCTGCCCAGCTCAAACCAGCTGGGCAAGAAGGGCCAAGAAGCCAGACTCAGCTCAAAGTACAATACTGCCCTTGCATCAAGGGAAGGTTGGCTACAGAAGGACTGGGGACAAGAGTTCTGTCAAGAACTGGAAGAGGACGGGTTTTGGGCCGGTTTGACTTACTGGAGCAGAGCATTCAGTAAGTGACTAGCTGGACAGCAGTAAATAGGCTGAAAGGGCTAGTTTGGTTTGAGATTGAAGGGGCCAACTCATGCTTTAGAGTGTTTAAAGGCTGGTAAGACAACTTTAGCTACCCTGTGCTTTAGTGGCACATTTCTTCATCGTGAGTTCAGTCGTTGCTTCTTAGTCAAATAGCATGCACTATTTAATTTTAAATGCATTTGGCTTTGAAAAGAGTAACTCCTGAGCTCTGTACTCACCTTGTCTACATGCCAACTTGCAGCAATTTAATGAAAAACAAAAGCATGTGTCTACCATATTAATCTTGAAAAAAAAATTCTGCACGAGCCATCTTGAAATAAGCATGCCTAGACTACGAAGTATGTTTTAATCTATATGAATATGAGCATTCAGGACTCTCTTTTTGATGCTTCTTACTGCTTTAAAGTTATGATTGCTATTGCTGACTTTTTTTGAAAAGGAATTAGTCAAAATAGCAAACATTCAATTTTTGCACCCATAAGATAAAGAGAAAAAAGGAGGGGCTTGTAATTTATCAGAATTTTCTTACAGATTTTGCCTGATGCATAGAAGAGCTAAGTGCTGTCATGTCACATACAGACATTTGCCAGGAGAAAACATAAAGAAAATAAATCCTCCTTTTGTTAAGACCACACAGCATTAGCTTGTAAAAAAAACTTATTTCCTTTTATTTATTAAAATGAGACCAAGGACCTGTTCTCTTGTGCAACTCAACAACTGTTTCAGTGTTTTTTCAAAAAGCATTTTGACTTGGTTCAAAGAAATGTATGACATTTTTCATGTCAGTGTTCAAAAGGATGCAACACAGCACTTTCACACACTTTACCACTGGAAAACCACTGTGTTATGACACCACTGAGGTGAAAATAGCAACTGATTTGAGGAAAGGAGAACTTAGATAATCAAGGTGAATGTTGTTCAGGGTAATTATTTCCACTTGGCTATGTTGAACTTAGCATCGGGACATTTTCAGAGATAAAGGGAAGTGGCTGACTGGTCACCACTTTAAGCAGGGTTACATGCACAGGTGACAAACCCTGGCATCCTTCCGCCTCCTGTACAGCTACTTAAATTTATCTCAATGTGAAGGGTAGACTTTGCTCGATTTTGCACATAGCATGAACATACTGGTACATTTTCACCTGGTTCAGTTGTGCAAGCAATGATATCTTTAACTGGTAAAACAAGGATCTGAGTATTCCCTTTCCTTCTATCTACCTCTCTTCTCTAGCTTCTGTAGGAAAATATGTAAGAACCAAGACTTATTTTCCAAAGCGTGCATTGTTAATTCCTCAGGTTTATCTTGTCAAAAATCAGCAATATTTAATAGAGAACTCAGTACAAATCCATTAATGACAGTCACAAACATTGCTCTGTCTTTAATGAAAGATCATGGCACTTATTTTTCCATTTCACATTTGTTTTCTTTTGCAGACTTTGGTCTTGGAAACAGGCTGAACTACACTGATTATCTACCAGCAGCCAGTTTACACTTAGACATTTAGCTTTTGTACACACCAAGCCCTCATTTTAGCAGCTTGCCCATGTGAGAGGACTGCAAGGCGGGAGTGAAGTACTTTTAGGATCCCTTCAATGTAGCCGTGGGAACAGAAAGAAGTTTCAGCATGCATGACAACTGAATCCACGATGTTATACTGAAAATAGTACAATTAGCTCTGGGCAGCAAGGGACAGTCCTGGATCTGATCCCAGCTGTGCAGAGGCGAGCAGAGATCTTCCCCAGTGCAGTGCAGTGGCATGGGCTGACACAAGCCCCCCAGCAGAAATGGGCACCCACCCAGTCATCTGTCACGTTTGGCCTCATCTTCCTCCACATCTGCGGCCCAAGACACAGACTGGGGAAATCCGTTACATCTATTCCAACCGAAGAGGCTTGAGCAGCTCAGTCAGCTTTTTGCGGACCTCTCCGTGGGGCACAGGTCTTAATGACCTGCATGCTCTGAATCCCATGTCTTCCACCTTTATTCTGCCAGTACTCCTCCCCACTGCCACCTAACCTGGTCCAAGCGTGGTTGCATTTTGGGAACCCCCACTACTCATGTTAGCTGGAATATAAATAACTTTCTAGTGTATTTTCAGAGGTAATGTCCTCTTATGTGTGCAAGTTAAATGGATGCCAATTATTAATAAAATTTTACTTATAATTTTAAGGGCATACCCACCAACATAGGTTGGAGTTGCAAGCTTTTATAGCCTCAGTTGCATTTGTGCATAGCTAAAACTTTACTCAGCATGTGACAAACTTTGCTAAATTGTTTGACATACTACCTAAAAAAAATTTTGTTTTTAAAACATAGTCCCATATCTTACCAATAGCACACACAATTGAGCAACATATGAATAAAAAAAGAGCCAATCTGGAATTTTTACCAAATAAAAGTATTCCTACAGATGCTAAGTCTAGGTCTCATAATAGTTCATTCACCAATCTTAAGCAGCACTGAAACAAAATACCAAGAAAAATGGTAAATACATAAATCCCAGCCAGGCTTGGATATTTCTCTGGAAACTATGTTCCAGACCTGTACTGATATGGGGCTTAGTATAAAAAGGCACAGCCTGAGTTACAAGAGAAGCCAGAGCTAACTCATCTACTAGTTCCTTGGCCTTTAAAACATGACTAGGAGTCGTTTCTTGACAGTCCTGTTTACAAAGGAAAATTCTGCTAACAGTAATGTTCAACATTACCTGACTGACAAACATGAGAAGAAAGTCGGCCATTAGCTTGCTTATCTTTGGACAGCATCACAGGTCTCAGCTGATGTGACAATATCATTTCATTCAATTTTTGCTGCAATGCTAAGTAGTCTTCAGATAATTTTGATATCTGAAAAATATAACACAGGATTTTACATTATTATATAAACAAACATGCATGTTCCAAGGTAATCAAAGGTAAAATAGTGGACTAGAGAATGAGTTTAAAAGGTATTGCTCCACCTACTGCAGTGTAGACTCCTACTATATCTACCTCCCCATCCTCCTTAAAAAAGAAAAAAAAAAGAGAGGAGAAAAACCCCAAAGGGAGGAGGAGGGGGAAAAAAAGAAATGGAGGAAAAAAAAAAGAAACACAGAAAACTTCACATCGCAGCCCATTCCTGCAGCTACTTCATATTGGTTCATGCATGTGAGCAGACAGTGCCTTGCTAATGCAAAATAGCTTCTACAGCTGTGGGCATACTCTGCACGTGTGTGAGTCCCTGACATTGACACAGCAACTTCTAGTTTCAATTACAGACACATTTCACTGAATTAAGAGCCTTGCCTGGTAAACACACATATCAACAAAGGCAAAGTTTCTGCGCTTAACATAAACCAGGTTAAAACTATCTTAATTTTTTGCCAGTACTCTAACTTTGTCTTTCCCTCCTTCCTGAAAAGGGTATTTTCTCTTACAGCCCAATATACGCATATTTATAGAACACTCATTACAAAACTCAGTTTTGGTTTACAGAATAAAACCTTGGTGCCACTGAAGCCAGTAAAATAACTTTACCATTCTGTCATTGCTCAGAGCATTATGCTCAACATAAGTAGCTTACAAGCTTCTTACCTGCCTCGAAAAGGCTGCCAAATCACAAGCCTCTTTCTCTGAGTCTCCCTTCAGCGTCTTAGAGTCTTCAGCCTCTGTACCAGTGCTTTCCCTGTCTTTTGCTGTTTGAGGATCATTATTTTGAACATGTACTGCTTCTGTTGGCTCCTTTAGAGCTTTCTCTTGACTTTTGCAAGGTAACTTCCCTTCTTTTCTGAGCTGTCCCCTCCTTTTGTAACCCCGGTAACTGCTCTGAATAACCACCACTGCCTTCTCTTTGTCTTCTGAACCTTGTTTTTCTGCCTCAACTTGCTGCTGTGAGCCTCTTAGTGACTCTTTTCTTATAATTCCTTTACATTTTGCAGGCATCACTGCTTCATGTTTCAGATGGTTTCTTTCCATATCCCTGTCAGTCCCGGGCTGGGCCACAGCAGATTCTTGATTTTGCCCATCTGCACTGACTGTGTTTTGATTATCTTGTTCTTGCTGGGGACTAGGTTCAGCTGTGATTTTGACAGAAGATTTGCTGGACAAGTCTTCCAAAGAGGCCTGTTCTTTACCTTTACCAACATTTTCTACTGTAGGGTTCTGCTTCACAGAAGCTCCTTCTCCTTCAGTAGATGTTTTCTGTTGCTTCTGTACATTCCTTGTATCACTGTACCCAGAGCATTCGCTGTCAGTAACAGCATCAGCTTCATCTTGAGTCTCCTTGTTTGCTGCTTCTTCCAGTGTATCATTTTTTGCTGGCTGCAGTTGTGCTTCAAGGAATTCCACAGCAGATAATTCTTCCTCTGCTATTTTTTTGTGCTGTTCCTTTTTTTTTTTACGGACTCTGTAGCCTCTGTAATGGCTCTGAACAATGACAGCTGCTTCTTCTTCTGTTTTAGAAAGGGCACTCTTCACTCCGCCTGGACTTCCCTCATTATCTTGAAGTTCTTCATCCTTTTCCTTTTCGCTAATGGATGCTGCATTTTCAGTTTGTTTCTTTCTAAGCGATTCCCTGAATGGAATAGAGTTTTGGGCAAAAATTATAGCTGAAGGAGATGAAGGACAATGACAACTTTACACCTACCTTTCATGGTGTTTGTGTACTGAATGGCAATTTGATACATTGCAACATGGGAAAGATTTAATGCCTATAGCTGTAATTAAAGATAGCAAACCAAGCTCTGTTTTTCTGATGATTATTATTTCTTAAAGTGTTAATCCCTGTTAAACTCTTCATGGAAAATTGCTAGTGGGACAATCTAGGCTGCATGAGGGCTGATAATATTTAAATTAATTCTCTACTCTTTTAACAAAAACATAAGGCAGAAACTTTTTAGCACCTCAAATATGTATAAATACACACAATCCTAAAGGTATTCATGAAAGAGAACTGCCTCAAGTCACACTAGGAATACAAAAAGAATGATCCTGGGTATAGATCCAGGTCAAATTTAAAAGACCTATTCCCTAAACTGTCTTTGTTACTATCAGTAAAACTTCAGTTCCAGGTGAAATCTGCCATGCTGTTCCCTCCCTCTGAAAGACTCTAGACTCCTTCACAGCTGTTTTACACCTCTCTGGACTAGCCTCCAACTACTTAAATGCTATCACTGAAAAAACGATGGTCATGAGCAAAGTTCTACTAGCTTCATTTCAGAGATTGAGACTATGACCACATTGCAGAGATATTTAGAATATGATTCACCTCACCTAACTTTTAGCAAGACATCTGGGTTCTTGCTGTCATCATCTGTGCTTAACTCAAACAGTGACTTAAGATGCAAAGAATGGTTCCTTGCAGATGCCTATTTCTCACTCTTGTCTGAGATTTTTTATAATGAGCTAGCTCCAAAAAGAGACTCATCTACAGATTACATTAACGCTACAGGTAAGCACAATATTGTTGATCTTTTCCCTAAATATGCCTTTATTCCCTGGGCTTAAAAATACAGAAAATTGGCTACTGACATTAAAAACCTCAACATAAATGTACATTACCTTGGCATACATATCTAGAATAATCCTAATCTGCTTCACTTTTATTTTACATCGCTGTTCTTCAGCAGTGTAGTTACTGAAAAGGGACACACTTCAGTGACATAGGAGATGATATATAGAAAATAACACTACCTCCTCCTTTTGAAGGTCTTCCTCTCCTTATATCCCCTGTAGTGAGACTGAATTGTTATTGCTGCTTTGTTTCTTGTCTCAATTAGTTCTTTTCTCTTCTTCCTGAGTAAGTATCCTCTGGCAACTGATACAAATTGTAATACAAAACAACCTTAGGCAACAAGCAATGGGTGTCCCACACATTTCAGAGATTCAAATGCTAACAGCATTAAACAAAAAACGATAAGGAAATACAGATTGGGGTGGTTATTATGATCACGTTTCATCTGAAATTATTCTGTCCCACAAAACTTTGTTGAGATTTCAGAAGGCTGTACCCAATCTACATGAGGATACAAAGAAGCTCTTTCTTCGTATTTTATTGGACTAAAGAAAATACAGGAAGATGCAGAATGAAGCAGAAGCATAATGCTATAGACGTGCCCCTAGAATACAGTGCTCTCAGCATCATGTACCTGCTTTGCCTGGTTCAGGCAATTGATTTGACTCAGTCTTTCATTTCCCTGTGAAACACCTGATTATCAGGCTATAGAGATTACCAGACTTTCTTCTGGCACAGGCTTGGAATTAGATGAACATTAATAGATCAGAAAAAAAATGAAAATTTTATAGCTTAACAGTTACAGAAGACTTAGCTCATGCTCCTTTTGCGAAGACTCATTATTCAAAATGAAAAAGCTCAGCATGAAAGATGTGCTAAGCTCCACAGTAACCAGGTGCACTGTGGCAAGGGTGCTCACTACTTGTGCTTTGTGGGAGGCACAAGTTCAAGGTCTGAACCAGGATGAATAAGGACTCAAATATGGGTCTTCCCTGAGACATACAGGTGCTGACTAGTCACTAGGGGCTTGATGCTGTTGCCAGCACGTAGGTATCTAGTGCCATGTGAAGTGCTCCAGGATAGCCAAGGCATCTACATGAAGCTGGCAGAATTAACAAGACAGACGGGACTTTCTGGAGAGAAAAAGTTAGGTATACCACATGAAATAAAGCTGGAGGCCAGGCAAGATAACCTAGGGCATCCCAAAAGACACTAGATACCAATATGGGGGCAAATAAGCTGAGCATTTGGTGGTTTTGAACAACACAAATCGAACTCTAGGCTCTACTGACTATAAGTGGAATTTAGACACCTAGGTCACTTTTAGACATCTACACTGAAGTGTCTTAATCAGAAGACTGAATTGCATTCAGAATGTTGCTTCAAAAATTTGTGAACTTGCAGATAATTTCCTAATGGGAACTGGCACAGTCTCCACAGTGCTCTAATTTGGACAAGTCTGCAATTCCAGGGATTCAGAACAAATCCACTAATCCCTGGCAAAATAGAAAGAATGTAGTGTTTTGTCAAAATATTTCTGTTGAACTCTTAATTCCAAATGCAGTACCAAGACTATGGGGACAGAGGTGATATAAATACGCTGAGGAGATGGTATATATGGGAGCTCTTACTCCAACTCTGCTGAGTGTTTTGCAACACAGGGAAAGGTCAAGTTCACTTACAGATGGGAAGGGAGCCTAAGCAGTCTATTCTAACACATTCATATAATTTGGTTCTAGGTTTAATTTGCTTTAGCATTCCCTATTAATAATTTAGACCAACTTTAGCTCCACTAGATGCAGTGGTTCAGTGTAAGAAGCACCGTATAAAAGGGACATAAATCTTGATAATTGGATATAGGGTAAAGGAACCCAAATACTTATTGGAAGTGGCACATCTGTTTTTTACACTGTAATCTGACAGAGCCTTAGAAAAGTGCAACTTGTAAGGCACTTGGAATATTTCTAGAGTTTCTTGGACTTCTGAGACAATTCTCATTCCATTTTCATAAATAAGTAACTCAACAGGAGTTATTTTGAAATAAATCAAGTTACATTGTCAATGGACATGCCAATATAAGCTAAGTCTGGTCTTTTTAGATTTATTCTGGTTCACTTTTGAAGTTTCCTGAGAACTTTGTTATGAGATAGTAGCCAGCTAAGCTTTGTTTTCAAACTGGAAGAGGAGTTTTATATTGCTTTAGAAGTAAGTGTGGGAAAAAAACTAGCTAAGTAAAAATGGACTTCCATTTTGTTCTGGCTTCTCGTGCACTGAAAAAAGTTGAAATGAAACTGCACACAGGACAGAGAAGGTGAACAAGAAGAAACACTGGGGAGATCAACAAACAGAGCAAAGTGGTAAATTCATACTTTTGCATTTGCTAGATATCCTAATATAATTGACAACTTTCAGATATGTAATTATTTTTGGCATTTATCCAAAAATTACTGGATTTTATTCTGGTTTTAGATTGTTTTCTACACTGATGAAGTTCTACCAACTGCAGTGAAGTGCTCTTCAGTACACACTAACATTGGCTCCGCGCAATTAACACATGCATCTGACAATGATTAAAACCAGCACTGGCATTGGTATATACTCATGACGGTCGTTTAAATCTAGATAGCCTGGGTACTGGCAGCACTAGCTTATATTTGGGGTTGCCACCTTTGTAATTACTGAAAGGGCAGATTTGTGGCAGCTGTTTGCAGACCTGTGCCTCTTTAGTTGTAACTGCTGCCGATTGAATTCAGAGCTGCCTAGACTACATCTGGCTCAGGGGCAACTCTGCAGGGGTGGGGAGACAGAAATATAGGGAGGAAAAAAGGATGTCACATAGCATACATCTGGGGCCAAGGTGATCATTGCTGCAGAAGAGGAGGAATATTTTGCTAGGTTGGACTGAGCGATGGCAAAACAGAATTGGAGATGTGAGTGAAATTACAGGTTTGTAGTCTTCTCAAACATAACTGTTACTGACACGTAACGGAATATATTCCTAACAGAACAGCACACACACACGCATTATATGCAGACAGTGTCATATGGGGCTTCAACAATACCAGCTGTAATACTTAGACATATTGGACCAGGAGTGAAAAGGCTTGCTATGGCATTTAACCAGCCCACTTCACAGCTGTGGAAAGTGCCTCTAAGCTGCTCTGAGGTACAGGTAACAGAATACATTGACTCATTTCAATCACTGTATATAGACATATAATAGATAAATTACACCTCAGAATGTGTAAATGAGCATAGTCAATCAGTGTAGCTAGGTAATAGCAAAGAACCTGGATTAACATATTGTTTATGGATAGCACATTAAAAGCTACGAAAGCAAACAATTCTTACGTGCTTGAAGTCTAGTAATATATTCTTCCACTTTTTTATTACGTTTTGCGTTTGTGTATTCTTTACGAGCAACAAAACCCCTGTAAGCTGAAAAGAGATGTCAAAAATTAAATAATCCATTAGGTACACAAAAGGCTGTAAGAATAAGAAAAGTCTGGAAGGAATTACAGAGCTCCATTAAAATATTCATAAATATTTTGCAGGCTTTATCTTTCAAAAAAAAGGGCAAACAAGCACAAGCACTGAATCTACATAAAAACTACATTTTCTGGGGAGTAAAGTTATTATGAATGAAATTAATACAAACCGTAAGAGAATCAGAATGCAAAATAAGATGATGTTTGAAATGTATTGAAAATTTCAGTTGATGTCTCCATCGACAGTGTAATTGGTCATATCATCTAGGACGGTTAATAGATTTTATTTTCATTATTATGTTATACAACTTGTCAGAGCACACCAGAATATTATTAATAACAGTATCATCTGTGCAATCATTTCCTTCCATTGTTAAAATTGCCTTTTGAATGTAACATTGATACACATAACTTCAGTAAAGAGATTGTCATAACCTGGTTGAAAGAAATTTTTTTTCATAAGAACAGATATCAACAAGTATAAGATATTTTGTCAAATCTAACAGCAGGAAAACAGCAAAATCCACATCCACCATGCACATCCATCTATCAAGTGTACACATGCACTAGCTTTAAGCAAAATGTTAAATGTTTTAAAAAAGCTATTACCTGACTGTATTTTAATCGCACTTTGTTCCCTTTGTTCCTTTATCTTTTTGTATCTCCTTGAACCCAGCCACCCTCTGACACAAGCTTGAATCAAAATAATCATGTCAACTGTCTCCTTCCGCATTAAATTTAGCTGCTCCACGTGATAGTATTTGAGGAACACCTTAAAAAAGAGTAGGCAGACAAGGAAAAATTTTAGTTACCCTCCCAGGCCCTGTACTCACTCAATCCATTTAGCATCAACAAGAATTCCAAGCTCGTTTCAGATGATGAACAGACTCTTTAGCCGTAGTACCTAAAGGATCATTCTTGTTAAAGATACCATTTTGATTGTTTGGGGTGTTAGTTTACCTTATTCTCCCCGTCAACATCTTTTGCCAGTCCCTGCTTATTCCTGCTTTCATGGGAAGATGTTTTAAAGTCCCAGTGCAAAACTTCAGTCGGTAACTATAAATTGTTTTCAAAACTATGAGGCTGACAGTTTTGCTAACCTCACAAACCAGGACAATGTTACATAAATGTGATCCAAATCTGGAACCTTCAACCTCTCTGCTTTCCAATTTTAAATCTAATGCATTGTTTATTTATTAAATTGCTTTTATCAAGCATGAAGCTCATATAACCCCTGAAGAATGGGTCCAGCACAAGGGATACAAAGACATTCCTGGTGTATGTTAGGATAAAATAAAATGTGTAGAAAGAGCTTGTGCAATTAAGACAATAATTATGCTTATTTTGCAGAATTCCCCCAATCTTTGATCACTCATTGGTAGAGATACAGGTTAACCCTAACGAAAGTGAGTGTAAGCTATGGATCTCACATCTCAAGATATGCTTCCTTTGGCTGAATGTTGTCCATTAGCCTCACTAAGCAGAGGGGAAATAAAGGTCGAGGGGGACGTAACTTCATGGCTTCTGTCCCACCTATCCAGGAAGATGTCTCAGAACAGTTGTTTCTTCTACACTGAGGTGATTTCAAATAGCTTAGGATCCATATCTCTCTCTATCCATATCCTTCCTGAGCACTTCTGTTACATTAGAAAATGGAGACTTGGTGCAGTTACTTGTCTGACTGAGATCTGTCAACTGGGGGTGGGTGCGTGTGGCACACTGGGAAGACTAGAGAGCTAGAACCAAAAGCAAGAGTATGGGAACAGACCTGTGCTTCTCTTATGATAAAGTCTTCCCCCCACTTCATATATGGGATCATCCTGCTATCTCTCTCCCCAGTGCTCAGCAAAGTCTGCCACAAAGGCCTCAGGCTGGAAAGCCAAAACCTTTTCCTCTCCCTTTGTGAGTCCGATTGCTCCAGGGAAGAAGTATAACTTCTTTTCCTTAAGAAAGCTTGGACTAAGCTCACTGGGATCCTTACTACCACATTTTTGGAAAGAAAATGCAAGAAGTGTTGTTGTCACATACTGGTTTGCACTGTGGCCTCAGTAAAGCTGAGAATTTTTACACTTTACAGGGTCAGGATTTCAGCCAGATAGCAGGGAACAGTACCCAGCAAAAGGTACTTAAACCAATAGAGACCAAGAGCTACCCCAAACGAATCAGTGAGAAAACAAATTGCTTAATAACTTAACAATGACATACTGCAATAATGCAGATAAGGTATATTAGAAAATTACTTTAGTTTTTCCAAGAACCCAGTTGTCAAGGTGGGCTTTTTCCAAGATGGCAGCACAGGTTTCCGGGCTGACTGGAGGATCATCATTTGTTTTGTAACAGATGAGGTAATACCTAAAGACAAGTATATGACTCTTTATTCCATTAATAGTGAGCAGTAGATGCAAATACATTGAAACCATTCATTTAAATAATAAAAACAGTTGCATGAAACAAAACATAGCACTGAGAAAACCAAAACAGCACAGGAAAGAAATTGCTGTGATTTATATGCAGTACTGAGAAACTCAATCAAATGTGGATGAATGACACATTGCACACCCTGGGGGGTTGTTTAATTCTATATCAACACCAGAGGGCTTTTTAGAATTGTGCAACGAAGTAGAGTTTTGCACCAGTTCTTTGCTGCTCTGGCTCTCTGCATTCTGTAAAAGTGATTTCAGTGGCAAAATATTTTTAAAGCTTTTCTGCCTAAATTAGCTTATTTCAAATCTAGAAACATCATGAAAATTTCATCTCTTATATCACGTGATATAACATGATGTGAGATGCAGCTTGTTACCTCCTTAGATTCAGCTTTGCTCATCCTTTTGGGACATATACGTGCTGACATTATGACATACCATATGTAAGTATTTAATCTGGCAAACTCATTACTCAGAATTAATTCTGACTAGAAAAGAGGTCAGGATCCTCATGCATAAAAATTACCCATAATGTACCAGCTCAGCTTCTTGGTAGAAAAGTTCTTGTGTGTTCCAGGACTTTCCAAAATGCTTGATAACAAAATGAACCATACCTATCTTGTTTTTTTTTAATTCAGGAAAATGACATGTATTATGTGTGCTTCCTGACAGTACATTCTGCCTTTTTCTTGTTATTCAGCCTTTATACACAAAACTTAGGTTGTACCAGCTTTAAATAACTGTAACAATTTCCTCATGGAATAATAAAGACACAATGTTGATTCCTGCATTATCACCAATTCCTATAACTCCTTTTCTTTTTTTTCTTTTTACTACACAATGAATTGGTTTATTTTTAGTCTAATAAAATAATTTTGCCATTATCCTTGTTCTACCTTTAACTCTCAACTATTGGAAAAAAAAAGACATGGAGATAGACATTTAATAAAAATCCCTTTTTGATTGAGGGCCATATCCTCAGTGTTGGAAATTGGCACAGCCTCACTGCAATCGGGGGCACGCTCTCTGGAGAGCTGCCCCACTATGTTCACTACTTTTCTGTCTTTTACCTGAACAGTAAAGTTTTTGATAAAAAGCAGTGACCAAAAGCCAGAGTATGTCTTGGTGTAGTGATAACTACCTTTTCCCATGCTGCACTCTTCCAAAACAGTAGCAGTCCCAGGATTACTCTTTCCAGAAACAGTACTGTAAAAACATCATTTTGTCCTTCCTCTCTCTGCTTGTGCACCTGCAGCACTCCGCTGCTAGCTCTTTGTTTCTAGTGCACTATTACTTTTAAGTGCTTCTGTCTGAATGGGTGTTACTTGCTTCTTCCCAGTTTTGATATCCATTCCACACATCTCAGTTCTGACTGAGGCAAATACTCAGGGTCTTTACTTGTAAGAGAGAAGTATAGATCAAGTGCTCAGGATTATTTTTTGGGGGTGGAGGAAGAAAAGATAGTTAAAGGAATTATAAAATCATAGTGAGTTCATTACTCTTCTTCTTAACAAGTGACTAATATTTAAAGAAAACTATGCACTTAATGAACTTCGCAGGCCTAGATTAGCAATACCAAATTATCATCCACCCTGCACAAGCAGATGCTGCACAGTGCTGAACATCAGGAGCTAGAGAATCTGTGGTGCTCCTTAGATGCTATTGCTCCAAATTCTCGGCTTTAATTCGAAGCATTACATTTCTAAATCTCAAGTCTTTGAAGAAAACCTGCAGATTATAAACATGGCAATTTTTACCCAAATGCGCAGAGAGCCTGAAACAATCATCTCGAGATGCATCATCTTCCCTTACCAATCCAAAACAGGTCACTAATCTTGTGCCTGAACTACTCTCTGTCATCCAGTCTGTAATCTTCTTTGTCACAGGAAATGTTTTTGTATTTTTTGTTTAAAGACCATGCCAAAGACACTGCTGATACTTAGCAAACACTGGGCAGCAATGATAGGAGAGAAAAAGGCTTCTTCACATCAATGTTACCGTTTTATGAAGTTAGCGAACAGTATGCGGTGTGAATAACCCTGTCTTCGAATTCTTGCTGTCTCCAGAATTCCAGTGTAACGCAGCTGAACCAACACTTTTTCTTTATCAAACTTGTTTGCCTGCCGGTCGTTGTTTGGCTTGATGCACCTGACAAAATGAGGCTGGCCGACGACCATTTTGGATAACAAATCCATCAGAGAATACTGCAAGAAAGTAAAATGATACCTGCCACCAGCATGTTCATAAAACTTGTATGTAGGTCCATGTATAGCTGAAATTTTATTTCATGTGACCAGAATCATGTCCAAATCCATTTAGATTTCAGTAAGCTAATACTTTAATGGTAGAAGAAGTAAATGACCCAACAACAATTCTAGATTTGATAAGATCTCTAATTTACTAGCATATATTACTTGAGAGAAACACTGATTCCAAATGGATGTACCAGATTCCACCCAGAACATTCTCACACACTGCCATAATGTCTAACATATGATAGAAACTCTCCTTACACTTATTTGCTTCTCTTGGAGCCTTGTTACGTAATCACAGCCCACTTTTTCTTTTTCCTGTTCCGTATTTGAAGATCCTTATTTACCCAGAGAGTAAACCATCTGTCTACAGATGGGAAGTGGAAGAGCAGCAAGCCAGTAAACACTGCCATCCCTTCATTAGACTGGAGGAAACTAAGCCCATTCCAAAAGATGGACTGCTTAAATTGCTCTGATCTAGCATGTCTTCTTCATTCTATAAGCTGGTGGTGATACTATAGCTGCCCTGCCAAGAAGAAACTTTTGAGGAGGGCAAAACCAGAAGTACACAAAATCACAATTCCAAAGTTGCACTCTTCCCACCTCACCAGGGTACCAGGCTAGCAGAGCGGATGCAGTTTGTAGCTCCCCATGCCAACTGAGGTGAATCTGGCTGTCAAAAACCTTGACTGGTGTTTTGCAAAATTGCTTCATGGGAGGATCTTATTAAAACACAAATGAAGAGGCTCATTCCTCAAGATTCAACCTGACTCAACAGAAAGAGGCAGCCAGGAGGTAATGCAGTTCAGCAGTAGGCTGGATACATGAAACTAGCGTAGGACGTCAAAAGCCATATGTTTCCTACTAAAATGTGCAATTCCATTCTGGAAGACGCTGTACCAGGCAGCAAAGTGCTTAATTAGCTTCATCACTAGTGTGCCCATTGAACACAAACAAGTAGGACACGCTAATGGATAATTTTTTTCCCCACTCAGTCTGATGTGGCAGATGCTTTTCTCAATCACCCATAGATTTCTGCATATAAGTAAACCAGTGGGGCTGAAGCTGAATCTTCATTGAAGAGCATTAGCTAGCAGGATCTGAGCAGAGGTTTCCACTACAGAAAATAATAACAGAAAAGTGTAAATATAATTAACTTATTTGCAGCCTCTGATGCTAGATGTGCTGGTAATGCAGTGAATCACAGACATTAAGTTTGAATGACGTTTAATAATCTTTTCCACCTAGAACTTTAAAACACCCATACAGCTTTGGACCACCATGATACCTGGGCTGAAATTATCATTTGCAGTCCATAAAGCCGTGCAACTTTATTTACTGAGCAGAGATCTTGTTCCTTACTGTTCTCTGTCATAGATGTAAATGAACTCTCACGGGTCATGAACATGACCTCAGCCATCTTTATGTTTTTGCTGGGAGAGATAACTAAATAACGGTTGGATATTCAGAGCTGAGCCCAAGTGAACCAACTCTGTGCACCACTTCGGAGGAAAGAATGCTCTTCACAGCTATTTTCTGTCGCAGGACCAGCAGCACAGCCAGTGCTTGGGAAGGTCAAGAGCACTGCTGAGGAGTCACAGGGATGGACTTGGGACAGCTTCTGTGCAGTGACCATCAAGATCGTTCTCTGGAGCTCCTGCTTCAAATTAACTTTGCCCTCTTGCTTCTTAAACTCTTCAAGAAATACTATACTACTAATGTCCAACCTCCCTTTATCTCCCTTGGTGGAAAAACAAGCAAGTGAAAGATTAATATTGATCATCATGACAGAAATGTGGCTGTATAATCAAGTACAATTAAAGATGAAACATCACTATCTCCTCTAGATATTTGTACTGCACAGACCACTGCACCATATATGTGGTCACAAACTCTAAATGGATAACTGTTGACTCTAAGTCAACAGGTGTATTTCAAAAGGTGAAAGAATAAACTTTCATTCTACTCTAGAAAAATTAATCAGAAGATCTGATATCTTACTCTAAAATAAGAAGCGACTGTCTGTGTTTTCATGCTGGTTGTCTCTCTTGGATGATGTCCGGTATCTCCTGCTTCATTCTATAAGGATGAAGAAAGAAAATGACACTTTTTTTTCTTTGTTGAGCCTGTAGTGTCCTTTCCAATGCTACAACAAAGCATCCCTCAGAGAACATCATTAATTAAAAAAAGTATTCTAAACAGGAAAAAGTTACAGCATGATCACTAGCACAAATCAATTACACCAGTACGTTACATTACTTTGCTACACAATACACAAACGTTCACACACAGAGAACACAGTTTGATAAAGGAGCATCTAAATAACTGCCACAAATAACCTGACAATGTCTGAAGGCCTGTCTGTTATTTCATCATCACTGTTATTTTGGTAGTTCTCTAAGGAACTCGACTATACTCCATACCAATATTTTAATTTCTCTTTTTGCTACAATACAGCTAGGAATTTTTTTTTTACCCTGAAGTTGTTATAAAACTACAGCCACAAAGAAGGGAAATGTTAGGTTTTTACCTCACGGAAGGAATATGAATTGCACAACACAAAGATATCCAGCTAAACAGAAAAGAAAATAGGAGAGGGAGAAAAACCAAGGAAGGGGTTACTTGCTTACTTTTAGTACCAATAACAGTATTGCCTTTCTAGTTTAAATTAAAGTTCAATGCAGAATCAGAAAATCAGTTTTCTTACCTTTGTATGACTGATTGATTTCCGGGGGGTCCACATTTGGTAACTGATTGTAGTTTTGCTTTTAGTGTGTGCCAGGTTACCTATGGGAAGATGAAAGAAAGCAACCTACCAAAATGCTTACATTTCATCTAAACTAAAAACTATGCTGAACCACCTTATTCATGCCCCCAGTGTAACCATATGATTATAAAGGGCGTTGACTTTTTTGGAGTATGTCCTCATTTCCCCTTTCACCCTTGAGATGGAACAAGCTCTGAAGAACTTGCATGAAGATGGAACATGGGCTGAATTCTCCTCCTTCAGCACTTACGTCACCTACTAGAGCAAAAAAATAAACAAACAGACTGCTGCAGAAGGTAAGAAAGATAGCTACATCTTAGAGCATCCATGTGGTTTTACCCTAAGGATGTTATTGTACTATACTAGTTCTAAGGCTACATATATATAAGTTAAAAAAAAAAAAGTGCTAGCACCCTTCTCTGGCTCTGAGGGCAAGCGACATGGCAAGTGTCTCAAGTCTATACAGCTAAACTCTATCCTGCACTACTCTTTTAACCTCCTGGCAAAAATAAGGTGGTATCTTTCCACAGAGCTTGTTGGAAACTGTCGCTGGCCTGTGATTTCTCTTGAAGTATGCCTGGGTATTTCTCTGAGACTGCTAGCTGTGATGGTGCAAAACTGTTCCAGGGAGGCATGCTAACAATTAATCAGAATGGACAATCCTGTGGGAGTGTTTCAGCTACTGTTCACTGGCCCTGTTTGGTTTACTAGCATCGACATAGTCTTAAGACTCTAACCTTGGTATTCTTAATCAAGTAATACCTTTATTATGATGAGTTGAAGGACTAGCTGCATTGGAGTGGTTTACACAGACACTGGTCTTCTAAAGAAATAATGAAAAGTCTGCTGAGCTTTCCATCATGTCACTCTATGTTGATAAACCCCAATGCAGCATGCATTGCTGCATGCTGCCGTTGCTTCTGCTAATAAGATAAGACCTCTGGAATCTCACTCTCCACTGGGAGAGCCTGTAATCTCTCTGTGCTCAGCTACTATCAGTAAGAGATGGATAAGAGTTGGATAAACAGCTGCAAATATACAGCATGTCAAGCTAATGCATCATGTATTACATGATGATATCAAGTACTAAAACCTCCCTTGGGCTTAGCTGCATATCACAGGGTGGGAAGGAAAGAGAGAAGATTACTCACACCTAACTTTTAGCTATCTGAAAGTGATGTGTCTACATGATCCCTGCTGTATTCAGTGGAGAAAGGCACCTTCAGAGGAGATTTATCCCATCCTAAGAGAAACACCTGATATAAGCAAGATGGGTTGGACTCTGGCTAAACCTCTATATTTCTACTGATTCTAGATGAATAACTTAGATCAAAAACCTAACTTTTGGTTGGCCATAGCTGGATGGTTTGGGTCAGTTTTGAAAGGCTACACTCAGTGTTTCATAATATTTAACAAGACAAAAAAACATCCTTCAGAGTTATCTTGCAAAACATTACATAAGACTTGGGATCAGCTCTTTGGACCATTTGGGCTCTGACTTTGGCTCTACAGAAATTATGGTTTAGTATCTTAGCAGATATCAAAAAATCAAAAAGTTCAGGCAAAGACATTGAGCTCAGTGTTCTCCCAGGAACACTGACTTAAAATAGACCTTCAGGATCAAATTTTGTATTCCACCATTTGTGACAATAGGAGCCTTGCCAAAACCTCAGTTACTGTAGGCTACGATAACACATTTTAGAGAAATTTCCATTAGGCTCTTCCAATTTAGCTTTGTTGTGAAGTACCTACTGTATGGCATCAATGCCATCACACAGGGTGTAATACAACACAATAGCAAACTGGTTGTTTGGAGGAGGCTTACCCATCATCCTAAAATGGTAGGACAGTAGGATATTGTACAGCAAAACAGTGGGACACTGTGCAAGGACCTAGTTCAACTAAGGTACAACTCAGGAGTAATTTCTGTAGAGCCAGTTACATTCCTCCACCCCAACTTATGAACTCCCTGAGGACGGGCTCACTGCTAGAACCCCATCAGTTACCTATTTTAAAGGACTAAAAGACTGAGGAAATTGAGGAGTGTCTTCCCACTCTTTGCAGCAGATGTTAGGAGCCCCAACCTTGGTTCTCTACTACTTTAGAGAAAAACTGCACTGAGACAAAACAGGCAATTTATATATGCCCTGTCCAAAAAAGGCCAGTGACTTACCTGATCCTTTCTGTTCAGTCCTCAACTCAAGAGATGCACTCCACTCCCTGTCTTGCTCCCCTACCCTGAAGAGAGGACCCTGAAAGAAGCCTCTACCACTTCCTTGGCACTTGACCAGACCAATCCCTCCCCTGCAGCTTGAGATGGCTGGGGCTTCATTCTGTATAGTTTCTAGGGTTGGAAAGTTAAGCCACAAAGTGTATAATGTCATCAACAAATGGTCACATGAAACCTAGCAGTGGTCATCACGAAGGCTAGAGAAGAAGAAGATTACCACAATAGCAATACCTGTTTTTGTAAGAGGATGGGTTACCAACTGCCGCGTCAGATTATTTTCAGATGATCGCAGTAGCAGCACAATATCAGCTGGCAGAGTATCTCTATTTTTGGCTAGGAATCCACTTGCATTATATAGAACCTGTTTAAAATGAGCATTTATGCAGCTTCTGGGCTTTTGAAAAGTAATTATAAATTTAAGCACTCTGCCATGTGGGTTTTAATATATCAAGATACACAAATAGTTTTCCAGCCATCAGGCTCACTCTTGCTTACAGTCTTTCTTTTGATCACTGAAAGTTCTAACTTTTCAATACTGAGAACAATTATGATGCAGATCACAGGAAGCAAATCCATAATTCCAAAGTAGCTTGAGACATTTATTTTCCCTAATGCAGATATGTTAATATTAGTTAATTATTAGCCAGTGTAGATTTATCACTAGGACAAGTGTATCATAGTCCTCCTTTACACCAGTACATGTGTAAATGCACAATTAAAAATGCACTTGATTTCAACCATATCACACAGAATTACCCATATGACTATAAAATCTTTCTGTTCCATTCATATCATGATGTACTGGATCCAGGACTTACCACTCTTCCTAGAAATCTCTATATTAATTGTAGGGGAAGCTTGCAAAATCACAAACTGCATACTGGCAATTGTAATCTCTCTAAAAATTCCAGGAATGGTGTACCTAACTCAAAATGTAACTCCAGGTATGGATGCATGCTGTAAAGGACCCACAAGAAAATCTGTCCTGTGAAGAAGGGTAGAAGATACTTGCATATTTAATTTAGAAAAAAACCCCACAAAACAAGCCAGTAACAGTCTTAAATTACAAAAAAGGCTTGGAAAGGAAGGGGGAATAAATTGTTCTCCAGTTCCACAGTAAAGAGGACTAAGAGTAATGAACTTACATCACAGCAATGGAGATGTAAGTTAGACAGTAGGAGAAACTTCCCAATGAAAAAGCTTGTTGAACACTGGAAAGGGCTGATGGGGCACTAGTGGAATCCCCATCTTCAGTGGATGGTATCAGGAATAGTACAGGGGGAGCTGGCACTCTGCTCCTCAGCAGTGAGATATGCTGTGCTGATGAAGTGTAATTCAGGTGGAGCTGAGGTTCTGAGGAGTTACTGCAGGTCTTTTGTACCTGGCTGTCTTCTGCAAGGAGCAAGCTATCTTCCATCAGCTCATGGGCAGTATGTTGCCTCTTTCCAGGCCAGTTGCTTCAGCACTGCACAGACTCAACACAGTTTCCTATGTGAGAGCGCAATGTCCACTCCATACTGTTTCAAAAAGCTCAGAAGGAGGTGGGAGCTCCTGCTTTCAGAAGGCAAGGTTCAGGTGACCACTGTCATCTTGCTGCAGTGCATCAGCAACTCCTGAGTTTGAAAGGCATGTGCACCATGTCATGAAGGAGGGCAAGACGCTGTTCATCAAATGAAGCAGAAAGCAGGGCCTGCACTACCTGTCTTGTTGATGATAAAGTACACAACTAAGTAAGGCTGATGAGGTGTAGGAGCTAGTAGAAAGAATGGAGCTGGATCCTGATTCGAAGCAGAGGGAACAAGCACAGCACAGGACTTGGAGGAGCTAAGGGCAAGAGCACTGAGTTGCATTACATAATGATTATGTTTTGGTTCTTCTATAATACAGTCAGTTCATTTACCTGGTGACATTTAAGAAAAATACACTCCTGCTATCGCTGTTTTTTATGAAGGAAAATAACTTTTCAATTTACGTTTGATGTGTAAGGCACTGCCAACATTTCCACGTCAGGCCTGAATAGAAGAAGGTTGACAACCAATCCAGCTGTCCTGTTTTATTTCCTTCCAGCCCTACCATTCCATAATCCCCAACTAGTATCATTAGGTCTCTTACCTTTCCTGCATAATGATAAATCCCAAAGGTTAGATCTACTCTTTTGGGTCTCCAAAAATATTTTGACTTCAAATTATCTTCAAATTTTTCTGAAAGGAAACACATAACTTATCTTACCGGAGTTACTGTACAATAATTGTCTTCCAAAGCTGTATCCCTCTAAGGATATTGCTTGACTTCTGAGACAATGCAGAGGCACAAAACAGGCTCTGATGTTTTTAAGGACAAAGATATCATAATGGTCTTGTAACAAAAGGCACTGGATAGAGAATATGGGAGCTCTTGGATCAGTTACTTCATACCACTTTTTTTCTGTGACCTCAGAAAATCACCTGCCTTTCTAAGTTTTTGATCTTAATATATGAAACAATGTAGTAATTCTTCCTAAGGATTCTTTGTGGAATTGTGAGGAAACATTTACCAATTGATGGAGGGCCTCTGTACTGTAGACTAAAAAGTATGAGGACAGAAAGACAACAAGCTCATATAATGCTTTAGCATGGGCTTTGTTACTGGATGTTATTAAGTTTTGTGACTGGGTTTTGGTTAAAATGCTCATTGGACACTTTGCACATTCCAAAATGAGTAAAACAAGTGGTTATCTGCACAGCAAGCCCACTGAAATAACTAAATCAACTGTAACTGCAACTACTCAGCAGCACTGAGATAGTCAGGATCTGAATTACAACCTATTTAGGTGTTTTAATTTCAGAATAGAAAAAAACAGGTAGCATAATTTGCTGAAAGGCACTGAGGCAGGTTTGCAGCCATTACCCTTAAAAAGTACTAAAATTCTTTTTCAGATACGGCTCATCAAAAATCTTAGAGCTGAACATGAGTCAACTTTGAAAACAGTGTAATTGACATAGGAACCTAGAGTTTTAACTCAGTTTGATCTTTATCTTTCAAGCCTTGCAGCTAAAAATTCCTGAAGGCAGAAGAATTCAAAAGCTGGATCAGCAGTTTAGGTTCATTTGTACTCTTGATATTTCTCTATCAACTTCAAAGACACATCCATCCCTGCATGCATGCCTCCCTCAAACATACCATTACATTGGAATGTGGGTTCACTAAATAATAAGTAGCATATAGCCTAAAACGGACATGCCAAACAGAAATGTAACAGGGAGGCACCCTGCAAAACTGTGAAATAAATCATATACTTACCTACAAGTGTCTGATCTGTTGCTTGTGGAAATCGACTTTCCTCATCCAGCAGGGACAATAAACCCATTGGTTTCTGCAGAAACATATCTAAGAGGGGCCTGTTGTCCTCATATTCTATAACTCTTGCATCAACACCTTCGTATAGGTATTCATTCTGTAACAAGCAACAGAAGGCATGTTTTGTCTGTGTATATAGAACCATTTCAGAAAATAATTCACAAACTGTCAATTGTAGCAAATTAAAGCTACATTGAAAAAGTATGCCCCGGGGCTAAAGACATAAAGGTTTTGCAGGAACAAATGTCAGTTGGGATGTATCACACTGTTAGGCTATAGATTTTAATTTGCCTTTGGATATGTATGTGCTTCCTACGGCATATTTGGTAAAGTAAGACACTTTCCAGGAATATGCAAAAATTAAAGAAATGGAGTTGAAGAAGATACAGTGTGTGCAGATGGAGACCTCAGTGTCTATTTACTTCCCTCATCTGCAATGTAAAAAATATTTCTTAATCATTTAGAGCTACACTTATATTCCAGTTCATTGCTCCGATCTACGTGATGTACAGTGGCTGAGATTTACAAAAGTGACTACAGATTAGAGGCCTCACTTGTTTGATCCCCCCCCTCAAACACCTGGAAAAGTTCTTATGCGGAAAAGAATGGTGCACACACTTTCTAATAATTAAAGAATGGTGTACATACTTCCTAAAAATTAAATAAATTGTCTCAGGTTGGCCTCTACAACATTTTCACTCCTTTTAAGGAACTAGGGAAAGGTATTCAGCAAGATTAAAAAACAATAGAAAAGTTGGTAGGGTTTTCTTTTTTTCCACTCCTGAAGACTGCAAATATCTTTGGATTCCTACCAGACTGAGAAAAACCTGATAACAAATGCGGCGTCCACACTGTGTTGCAATGGTTTTATATTGAAAATAATTTAAGATATAGCTGAAGAATACAAGAATTACTTTCTTTAATCCTTCAGCAAGGCAGAGGACAGCTGTAGATTTACCAAGAGAAGGATGCTCAAGGGACTGCCACCCCTCCCTTATTTTCTCCTGCATTACGTAATGCAATAGCAGTTATCCACTGCACAGTGCTCCGACATATACCAGGGCTGCCTTCAGTCCTGTGCATGCTATACTCTGAAACACATAATTAAGTCTTTTGATCTACTTTAAATATCATCCCTTTTCCAAAGGATAGGACTTTATAGAATTGTATTAATGTATGGTGTTAACATCATAGTTGTGCTAACCTGAATTCATTGTGTCATAAACATGAATGATGGCTATTATTAATGAGTTCAAAGACCTCTAATCCTGAAAGACCTCTCCTTATGTGTCATTCACTTGAGTGTGAATGAGTGAAGAGGGCACTATGTTGAGCGTTTCAAAACGGAGTTAACTGCCATATACAACAGAAAAGCACATGTTATTAGACTTCACACCTCTTAATCTCTAAGCCAGAGAGAAACAGCAAAATTAATAAAATCAATAACACTGCCCTGGAAATACAGGCCCAGATAAATAAGTCCGCTGATCCATTTGAGAGAGAACACAGAATATATACCTAAACCCTTCCAGTGTCCATATTGATCTAATTTCCCAGGACACTCTTCACTCTAAGGATAGGTTATGGCTCAGTTTATATGCCCGTACAAGGGTGTAAGCAGTAAGAATCTCTCCTACAGCCCCATGAGGGCTCCTCATCATGACACATAACATTAACTTCATTCATGTCTCCCCTGCAGCAGTGGATAGGTGAAGTTTTGTTTTGTATTTTAATCAATGACCTGAGTACCAGGACAAGACAGGAGAGTATTAAATGTATCACTGATAAAGGCAAAAAGTTAATTATATACTTGTAGGAGCTAGTGGCAGGAAGGGAATGAGTCTATGTTATCTCCTACCAGAGTAGAGGCAGCTTAACCGAGGGCTACGGCTGTACCGACATGCAGATGTTATGTTCATGAAAACAGCTGTTACTGCTTAGGATTATCAAGTGTACACTTATCAAGGGGGAAAAGGGAAGAGATTGCTCAGAATGAATCTGTCAGAGAAGTGTGTTTCTGTGACGCTTGCACATCCTCAAACAAGCTCTCACAGACAACCTATCTAATGATTAAGCTTTTCCAACTACAATTGCTTGTGAGAGAGGCTGGTTTAGAGAGCTGATAAAAGACTTATCCTCAAAACTGAGAGGAGGTCTGTAATAGCTGTACTACTACACCATAACAGCAACATCTGCTCCCCTCCCTGCCTGGCCAGTGTGCAGTGTCTGACCTCCAAGCCTGCAGTGTACGTGACCGTTTGGTCTTTTTTGTCTGCACCTCGATGACTGAATGAGTGCCAGTGCTGATGGTTTTGGTAACGCTGCCGCTTGCCCAGTAGGATATGGAAGCAGTTCACTCCATCACTTCCCATGGGCTCCTGGAGGACGGCTGATAACCAAGTCTTCCAGGCACCAGTGTGACAGATGGCTCAGAAATAAGATACCATATTACATTTCCTTATGCAATGCTGGTCTTCAAGCATATGATTAGGATACAAGCAGCAAGGATAAAAGCCTTAACGATGCACATCATAAAACTGTAATGAAATAGATCTTATTTGAATTAATAAGCTGAATCAGCTACAGGATTCTGTAATCCCCCACGATGTTTTATGACAAGAAAGCTCCTTAAAATAGCAGCTGCTCATCGAAATTCTAAAGCATAATCCAACAAAGTATTCCTGTGGATAGGATGTCAAAAGGAATGACTGAGTTACACTAATACTTGGGCTCCTATCTCATCTCAGTATTGCATGGTATCTTTTCTGTGATCAAAACTAGGTAATATTAGCTTATGTAACCTGGTTTCACTTACTAACAAAAAAAAAATTAAATGCATTAGGAAACGGTCTTATGTTTAATAAAAAAAAAGTAATGGCATTTTGTCAAGAAGATGGTATGATGACACTTTGGTTTAAATGGAAACACTGGAGACTTATTCAGGATGAACCTTTTCCAGCTTAAAGTAGATTAAATTGTCATATGAATGTAAAATAAACATTGCATATATCTAATGCAAAAAGTAGCATCCTTCCAACTGACAGTAAACTTGCCACTTTCCAAAATGTTTTAAGTATTTGACATTACACCTTTTAGTCTTTACAGAAGAATCACAAATGCTAAAGAAATGGGAAGGTTGTCTTGCTGGACAATGTTACCTGCAGATCGTGGAGCTGACAGGATTAACTTACATCAGTACCTTACATGTAAGGGAAACACCTTGATGGACAGGACTGAAGGAGCAAAAGTTGTGCTTTGCTTAATATTAACTTAAAAAACCTTGTGCCAGCATTCATTCCACTTACTTAACTACAAACACATAAAAGAAGTTACTAAGTTGAGAGCTCACATTTCCTCCCCAGTCAGTGGATACAGAGATGTTATCTACTGACTGTTTTGATTCTAAACTATCTTTATCTTGAACTATACTCCCTGCTTCAGCCTTTCTGTTA